TAACCACTACGCTACCAGAGCTCCTTATATCTATATCTATATCTATATGTTGTTGTTATATATAGTTGGTTCCAACTCATAGTGACCCTCCACAGGGTTTCCAAGGCTGTAAACGTTACAGGAGCAGAAAGCCTCATCTTTCTCCTGTGGAACAGCTGATAGTTTCAAACTGCTAACCTTGCAGTTCGCAGTCCGATTCATTGTTGTTGTTAAGTGCCGTCGAGTCGGTTCCGACCCATAGCAGTCTGATTCATAGCCACTATATATACATATATATGTATATATATATATAAATGATGTGTGTAGAGCACTATGTTCTTTTAAGACCTATCTACATGGGATCAAATTGATAACATCAATTCAAACATTTAGTTAGGAAACCTAAGCGGCAATGTTATCAACGCTGAGAAAGAACTCAAAAAAGGCAGGTGAGAATGACTGCATAATAGAAAAATGTAAATAACAGAATGGAATTGTATCTGTAGAAATTGTTAAATTGGTGTATATTCCAAAAAATTTAACAAAAGCAAAAGAAACTTTGTATATATATATCAAAACTGACAAAAATAACAATAATAATAAAGGCAGCAGCTGATTAGCTCACCCAGAAGGAAACACAGCCCCTTCTGATATTCGTGCATTTCCGATGAGAGCTCTAGTTGAGTTCTTGGTTCTCCATGCATGGGTACCAACAAGTCACTGTGTATGGAAACTCATTTTTCTTTTCTGTATTTACACAGGTGGGTTGAAAGCCCTGGGTCCATTTTGGACTCTTCACCCATTAGCTGTGTGGGTCTCATGAAATGGCTGTGAACCTTAAGGTCAGCAGTTCGAAACTACCAGCCACTCCACGGGAGAAAGATGAGGCTTTCTACTCCTGTAAAGATTTACACCCTCGGAAACCCTCTACAGGGTCGCTATGGGTCAGAACTGACTCGACGGCACTTAACAACAACAACAACATACAAAAATCAGGATAATAATGTCTCAGATCATTGTTTTGAGGTTTGAATGGGATCACATATGAGTAGTGAGTTGTTTTCTTCCTTTTCCTAAGAATGCTTATTAAAAAGAAGTTGTTGTTGCTGTTGTTAAGTGTTGTCAAGTCAGTTCTGACTCATACCCACTCTGTATAGGGTTTCCGAGGAGTTCAAGCTAGCCTTGCAGTCCAGTACCACACCAGGATTCCTAAAAGGAAGTTGTTGTTGTTATGTGCCGTGGAGTCGGTTCCGACTCATAGCGACCCTGTACAGGGTTTCCGAGGCTATAAATCTTTACGGGAGCAGAAAGCCTCATTTTTCTCCCGTGGATCAGCTGGTAGTTTCGAACTGCTGACCTTGCAGTTCACAGCCCGATTCGAAGTAGGGGTGCAGCAAACCAACGAGGGACAAATATTTACATAAACCTTTAGGCAGAATCTATTTTCCTCTTTGAGGATGAAAACATTTCCAAGCATCCTAATACCAGGGCTATTCTCATGGGCCAGAGCTAACAAGAAGAGAAGAAACCAGAACTTTCTAGAAGACCTACCCCCTTCCTCTCCACCAACACTGCAGGGAAAATGGCTGCAATAAAAATAAATGCTGATGGAGATTAAGAGCACTGGGGCACGCCCAGAAACTCATCCTTTCCACAAATATTTACTGAACAATTACTATGTGCCTCGCCCTCTGGTAAGGAACCCTGGGAGCACTAGACTGCTAACCACAAGGCCAGCAGTTAAAACATGCTAGCTGCTCCACAAGAGAAAGATGAGGTTTTCTGCTCTTGGAAAGATTGACAGCCTAAGGAGCTTTGGTAGTGTAGTAGTTACGAGTTGAGCTGCTAACCTCAAGGTCAGCAGTTCGAAACCACCAGCAGTACCGTGGAAGAAAAATGAGGCTTTCTGCTCCCGTAAAGATTTACGGCCTCGGAAACTCTATGCAGGGTTGCTATGAGTCTGAACTGACTCCAGAACTCACCACAGCCTAGGAAAGTTGGAATCAACTCAGTGACAAAGGGTTCGAGTTTGGCTTTCTGTTAGGTGGTGAGGAAGCCACAAAATATATAGATTCAGATTCTTTGTCCTGGTGTGTTTCTTGGGTCAGTCCCTCAAGAATGAGCCTTAAGTCCTATGAAATCTCCACAGAGTCCTGGTGTGGCGCTGTTGGTTAATACGCTGGACTAGAAAATCGGCTTGAGCTGCAAAGCCGGTGGTTCTAGCTCACCAGCAGCTCCTCAGAAACCCTATACAGGGTCGCTATGGGTCAAAGCCGACTTGACAGCATTTAACAACAACAATCTCCACAAAGAGGCCACAGATGCTCATCAGGGCTTGGGACAGAGGCAGGCCCCACAAGAGTACTTAGGTTTTACATAGCAGGGTGCTCTTGCCTCCATAGCAACACGGGATTCAGAATGAAGCAGTCTCATGCCTAGAAAATTTATAAGCCTCTGATGGTTCCCAGAACCTTATATAATTCTTTGCAGATCTCAGTCTCATACTTGATATAAAGCCAAACGGAGAAAAATAATTTAAGCAAATGTTTTTCATCAATGCATTCTTTTTAGGGGAAGGATTTGTCCCTCAAGTCATAAAGAAATAAGAATATTCAGAACGTATTTCTCTATTTCTGTATGTATTTAGCTAGACGTAAAAATTTACATTATAGAAATCAACAGAGCACTAAGCTATCAAAAAAGGTGTCCAGGGCACAAAATGAGACCTGTTGGAATTGTCATAGGCTATGATCTGTTGTGGCTTAATAAATCAAAAATTTAAGTCAGGGAGAAAAAAAAAAATGTTTCTCCAGGGTACGCTCTAGTGTCCAACCAACTAGATGTTTCTTTAGGAGCTCTGACAGCATAGTGGTTATGAATCAGGCTGCTAACCGCAAGGTCTGCAGTTCAAAACTACCAGCCGTTCCATGGGAGAAAGATGAGACTTTCTGCTCCCATAAAGATCTGCAGCCTAAGAAACCCTGTACAAGGTCACTACAAGTCGGAACCGATTCCACAGTACTTAATGACAACAACAACAACAACAACAACAAAGATGTTTCTTTGATCATCTAGGACAAACTCTAAGTGCTGGTGTGGCGCTGTAGGATAAGCACTGTGCTGCTAGCCACAAGGTCGGCAGTTCAAAGCCACCAGCTGCAACTCGGAAACCCTGTACAGGCTTGCGATGAATTGGAAATCAACTCAATAGCACTAACAACAGCAACAACAAAGGATACATTAGTGAAAGTCAGAAGTAGGTTAACAAAATGAATATGTATAGCAAGCAAGTCCAACCAGAATCCCATCAGCAAAAAGAATACAAAATCAAAATAAAATACTGCATCAACAATTCCAAATAACTTAATTAAAAACAATATACAATCCAAAACATAATATGAAACCTTGGTTCAGAATACTATGTAGCCATTAAAAAACTCTGTTGGCAAGGAAAGTTGCTTATACTAAATTAGGTAAAGAGAGAAATTACAAAGTAATATGCATAGATGATCCCACTTTGTCAGTATATATTTTTGTAGGCATGTATTTCTTTTTTCCCCACATATACACACAAGCATAGAAGGACATTCATTTCATGGTTAACACTATTTATTCTCTGGGTGGTAAGATTATGAGTGATTTTTGATTTCTCTTTATCTGTGTTTTCTCTTCTAAGGTCAATATATGGGGATGAGTCATAAAGTATTGTTACAAAACCATAGAAACTTTTATGAAACAGAGATACCAAAATGGGAAGCTACAATTTCTCAAAATAGCTTTCAACTTGGTCTTTATATTTCTGAAGGCAGTACGTCTATCTCTCTAACCCTTCTCAAAAGAATTCTGTACTCTTCGATTTATACCACACCCAAAATGGCAGTTTTGGCATCCCTGGGGGTCACAAATTGTATTCGAAATGTTCTTGAGTTTGGGGAACAAGTCTGAAGGGGCAAGTCAAGGTCATCAGGTGGATGAGGTAATGTTTCCCAACAAAATCTTCCTAGGACAGTCTTGCTACCCTAAAAAATGAGTCAGTGCATTGTTGGGATGGAAAACAATTCCTTAGTACAGCTTCCTGGCCTTTTTCTTACCAACACAGTTTTCAATTTTCTTAAAACTTCATAATAAGCCCCTATGATTATTCTGTGTCTTTCAAGAAAATCTATCAGGATTGCCCATTCAGAATCCCAAGAAAACTGTTGCCATCAGCTTCTGAGCTGACCTTTCTGCCTTGAATTTAACCAGCCCAGTAGATCTCCTGTGACGCTCTTGTTTTTATTGGAACTATTTTATGGAAGGCACCCTGATGAGACTAAGACAAGTTTATTACTGAGAGAACTTGTCCAGAGCCATCCACTGTTCACAGACATGTTTAAACTCATTTTACTTGGAGTAAACCCATGCATGCATGAACTGGAAAATGAGTAGCAATCTTTTTTTACATTGTTTGTGTAATTTTAAAAAAGGAGTTTGGTATTGGGGCGAAAAAATGTTCTAACACTACACTATGAGGATGGTTGCACAACTCAGTCAATTGATTAAAAATCATTCAATCGTATCTTTAAAATGGATTAATTTTATGCATATAAAGTTTACCTCAATGAAGTTATTAAAAAGAATAAAAAGGAGGGTGTTGCAGATTACTCTCAAATAGTTCAGATTTTAAAAATGTAAATTATATTGTAAGATCAAATATGGTGGAACGCTAACACTGGGTGAATCTGAATGTATGGAGCTCATTGTACCATTCTTTCAACTTTGGTGTAGGTTTAAAAACTTTTTAAATGAAAAAAAAGGGCAGAGGGAACAAGGAGAAATAATAGCAACACTAGAAACTAAAACTAGGTTAGCACTAAGTCTTAAACTGGACGTCAGTGTTTGGGCTCCCTAGAAGCTCTCATTCCAAGCAATGTGGAAGTAACAAAGAGTTAGCATCATGGTGCACACTCTGCTTACCTCTTCCCTCCTCTCCGTACCCCAAGTGAGGGGGGACCACAATCCTCCGCTTCTCTCCAATGCAAACACCAAGTAAACCTTCGTCCATCCCAGGAATCACATAGCCCTGCCCGATGTATGTGTCAAAGGTGCGGTTCCGTGCGTAGCTAAAAAAGAAGAGAAATAATGCAGAGGTGAGTAGCAAGGGATTACATCACAGCAGCAAAATAAATCAGTTGGTCTCACAGATGAATAGAAACATAGAGGCCTTCAGACACCAAAATTGAGGACACAGTCAGGAGATATACTTCTGCAAAATTCTGTGAACAAGAATCCACACAACATGTGAACAACTGTGTTAAGAAACACTCCCAGAAACCAACCACCAACCTTCTGACTTGGTCAGGTTGGCAGTTCAAAACTGCCAGCAGTTCCGTGGGAGAAAGATGAGGCGTTCTGTTCCTGTAAAGATTTACAGTCTCGGAAACCCTGTGCAGGGTCACTATGAGTCAAAACCTACTCCATGGCACATAACAACAACAACAATGAACAGATGATTCTCCTCACACGGGAAGCAGAAGATTATTTTCATAAGCTTTCAGGGGATTCTGAGGGGAAGTACCCCTTCCTGTTCAACTGAGGAGAATAGCCCCACACTGAGCAGCTTCTCACCCCTTCACTTGGCCAAGAAGGACAGGGCGGGAATATGGCAGGGTAGAGAAGGAAGTGCCTGGCGCTCAAGCATCCTCTAGGTTATCACCTTGGTGGTCCTCAGCAGTGGGTGGCACACTGGGAGACATTTAGGGGAGAAGAGGATATCGATGAGAAGTTGTCCCTTATTAAGTGACACCAAGTGGTGAGAGAGATGGCAGATGCCTCAGAAGAGAGAAGGGATGAAAGAAGAAGTGGGAAGAACTGCCAATTGGACAAGTCAGCAAAGATCTCATGGGGAAGAAGGGGGGCAGTAGACACTGAAGGACATGGACACTGAATTGGAGGAGCACCATGGTAACAATGAAGGCCACATCTAGAGACACAAAACAGCTCAGAAGAAGAGACTGGACAAGATGGGTGGGCTTGAAGTTACAGAACTTTGAATAACTTTCAATGAAAAAACATAATAGAAACTTAAATGAATGAAAAAACATCCTATTTCCCAATTGGAAATTTATCCAATGGGAAAGTTGGAGGGTTGTGAAGTTGTCAGTGCTACCCCTAACTAATTGATGAGCCTTAAAACAATTTGTGTCTAAACCTCAGTGGGTTTCTGTTGATGTTGGAGGGGTTGGGTAGAGAAGAGATTCAATAAAGTAATTCTAAAGTTCATTTGGAAAAAGAAATCATTAAGAATACAGTTTTGAAAGGGACAGTATATGTTGTTGTTGCTAAGTGCCATTGAGTCGATTCCTACTCATAGAGATGCTGTATAGTGTTTCCAAGAAGTGGCTTGTGGTTTTGAACCACTGACCTTGTGGTTAGCAGTCTAGTGCTTATCCTACAGCATCATACACAGTAAGTTATTATTTCCACAAAAAATAAAATGAAAAAATAATTATATATGTATTTCATTATATATGTTATAAGAACCAAAACTAGACTCAATGTCATTGAGTTGGATTTGACTCATAGAGACCCTATATAAGGTTTCTGAGGCTGGAAATCTTTACAAGAGCAGAAAGCCTCACCTTTTTCCTTCAGAGAGGCTGATGGGCTTGAACTGAGGTCAGCAGTCCAATTCTTACCCTGCATTGCTACCTCCAGCATACAGAAAACCTATGAAATTAGTAACACTGGGTCTTATGGGAAGGGAACTGAATGACTGAGGGCAGAACCAGGAGAGACATTTTTCATTGTATACTGTTAGGTTTTGAACCACGTCAAACTCCTTAAAATTACGTTTTGGGTTTTTTTGTTGTTGTTGTTTTGTTTTTAAAAAGAATATTCTCTAGCACACAAATTAAAAGGTTATAATACTCAAAAGTGTGATACTAGAAAAGGATAAAAATTCTAGACAAAGATAAAAAAGTGTAAATAAGAATTTGGTACACATTATGAGCAGCCGGCCATCTAAGGTACAGCTACTGGTCTCTCCAGGTGCAGAAGAAAGAAGTCATGAGAACTGAAGATGCTTGGAAACAATTCATCTAAAAGAACACGTGAACATCAGTCCTCATGACTCTGAGACCAGAAGAACTAGATGGTGCCTGAACACCACTACCAACTGCTCTGAAAGGGGTCATATTAGACGGACCAGAGAGTGGCAGAAAATGTGGAACAAAACCCAAAATGATCAAAAAAAAATAAAAATAAATCAGACTTACTGGTCAGAAAGGGACTGGAGGAACCTGAAGACTATGGCCCTCAACCACCCTTCAGGTCTGAAAAGGAACTCACACTTATGGCCCAATTTTCAGCTTAGCAGTAAATAGGTATCTACGGAGGGCAACAACACTAGTAAGGTATGCTCACTTGGAATGGTCAGTTGTTCCAAATCAAAAGGCAACATTTACCTAAGGATGAAACTGAGAAGGGATGGGAAGGTGGGTAGAATGGAAATGGAGACCACAGGGAGGAAGCAGAATGTTGTTACATGGAGGGGAATACAATCATTGAGATGAAACAAAGTGTAGGATCTGTTGAAAGTAAAACTTTGATGATCTTATCTATAAATTTTCACTCATTTCACAATAAAAAATAAAAAGAATTTGGTACATAGTAAAAGCAACATTTTAAATCAGTGAGGAAAATATAGCTAACCAGCAATGGGACAAACTAGCTAACCATCTGGAAAAAAGAAAGTGAAGTCCTTTCTGTCACACTGAGTATCATAATAAATTCCCTGTGGATTAGACATTTCAATATGAAATCATTTATGAGCATGGAAAGAGACCTGTGGAAAGTCGTTCATGTCTGTTACCTCAGGGTGGTGAGAATGGAAGGGGTTGATGGGAAATCATTACATTTTTCATGATACATCTTTGCATTGTTTTCACATAAGAACATACTACTTTTGAAGATAAAAATTCTAGTAAAGAATTTTTAAAGGATAAAAATAGTAAAACCATTAAAGGACAATGACCTTTGATCCAGAAATTCTACTTGTAGAACTTTATCCCAAATGAAAAATGAATCATAAACATTAAGGTTTAGCTTCAAAAGTAATTACTGTTGCTTCCTCCTTCTTGTTGTTGTTGTCAAGTGCCATCGAGTCATTTATGACCCATAGTGAACCTGTATAGGGTTTCCGAGGAGCAGCTGGTGAGCTTGAACTTCCAATCTTGCCGTTCAACCGGCTTTGCAGTCTGGTGCATTAACACACCGCGCCACACCAGGACTCTATAGAATGTCAAAATATAGGAAACAGCAGAGCTGGCCAACAGGGAACTGACTGCCTAAATAAATGCAAATCTACACCGTGGAACAAACATTATGCAGCTCTTAGGCAGGAGCTCTGGTAGCATAGTGGTTACAAATCGGGCTGCAAACCGCAAGGTCAGCAGTTCGAAACTACCAGCCGCTCCACGGGAGAAAGATGAGGCTTTCTACTCCCGTAAAGATTTACACCCTCGGAAACCCTGTACAGGGTCGCTATGGGTCGGAACCGACTCGACGGCACTTAACAACAACAATAACAGGATGACCTAGATTCCAATGGACTACAGTGAACAGCTGTCTGAAACCTGGGTCCTATTAATGAGAAAAGAAATCTATGTAAAAGTAATCCCAGGGAATAAAGGACAGAACAAAACTCCCTTATAACAAGTTACACATACATTGAAGAGTTTTTTGATTTCGTTTGATTTTTATAATAGAAGGAGAATAAAAACAACTCAAACATTCACCAACAGGGGAATAGTTACAGAAATTTAGTATATTTAGCCAGTGGACACTCTATAGATATCAAAAACAAAACCAAAAGTAAAACTTTCTCTCTATGCATTGATAGGAAAAATATCATAAGGTGAAAAAAGGCAAAGTGTAAAATAGTGCATATAATATGTTACATTTTATAGCCTAAAAGAGAGAAAATAGTGTGATATTTACATTTTTTAACAACCACACACACAAGAATACACAAGAAACAAATCAAAGTGGTTAACTGAGGGGGTGAGAGCAGGTACCATGTGAGGTAGACAAGAGACAGATGAAATAAGCCATCCTAATTGTGGCACTGAGGGTTAATGCTCCAGACTGCAAAGCCGTTTGAATTGCAAGGTCGGCGATTCAAGCTCACCAGCTGCTCCATGGAAACCCTGTACAGGGTCGCTATGGGTCGGAATCGACTCGACGGCACTTCACAACAACAATGTATCCTTTGGTTTGATTTTGAACCACATGAATATTACTTTTTCCAAAAACACAGAATGAAACATTTAAAAGAAGAAACCCTAGGAGTAGGAAAAGTAATCACATAAAATAATATCATATAAAAATTCTTAGCTGGTGTTTTTGGATGACTAATAAACTGGAAGTCTGTTACCTCAGAGAGACAGGTAGGTTGCTGTTACTACTTGTTTGCCCTACAGGAAAGCTAAAGGAGTGGTTTCCAAACAACACATACCACTTGAATGAGTAAGATATACTAAATGCCTGCTGCCTGCTCCTATTTTGCACCTCAAGCCATCTGTACAAACTGCAGGCTGTGTTTGATACACAAAGCAAAACTATGAATAACAACGGCACCGGAAATTAGTGTCTCCAGCATCAGGAAGGGAGATGACTTCATCTAACCAGTCTTCAGAGTTTGCAAAGCGCTTTTATATACCTTCATCCCTTCAGCCACCTCTTGTGAGAAAGGGGAGTCAAATGTTATCTAAAGTCACATAGCTAGTAAACCACAGGCAGGGAAAGGAACACAGGTCTCTTGGCTACAAGTCTCTGCTCTTTCCAGTGGGTCTTCCCACTCCCCATTCTGGACCCGAGGGTAGGGCTTGTACTGGGATGACTGAGCACTGCATAGGAGAGGGTAGGAGGGCTTTCCATTTCCTCATGGAAAGCCATTGGGAAGTCGAGAACAGGCCTTACTTGTTTTCCATCAGACTCATATCCTGTACTGCTCAAGAGAAAGAGAACATTCTAATAGTCCATGAAGGAATTCAGTATCAAGAAATGGAAACCTGTAATGGAGATCTAAATACTAAGAATGACAAAGTTCTCAGATCACAGTGGGGTCAGAGGTAGAGTATTTAATAAGCTATTCAAGTGAGGAAGGCTCCAGTTTCCTTACCTGGAATCAAAAAAGGTGCCATCCAGAAGTGTGCCATTGTAATGATACCTGAGAAAGTCCCCGCTTTGACTTCTCCGTTCACAGTTTTCAGGCACTATCTTATTCTCAATGGAAATGCCATCCTTGGGGTTATGGAGGTCCAACAATGCAACATCAAAGACCAGAGATGCCTGGCCAGGAATATCTTTCCCTAGAGTGGAAGGTGATGAAACCAGGACACAAGATTTAGGAAGTGTGTTACCAACAGCTCAACATTCTCTGTATTCATGTCCATTTGTTCAATTTCCAAGCTAAGGAAACAAGTCTTGGGTGGATCCACACAGTGTCTAACATGGTATAGTCTGAAGGCTGACTTCCTCAGGAAAAAAAGAAAACTGATATTAATTATCTAAGAGACTCATTTTGTTAAGTGCCATGGAGTCAATTCCAACCCATAGCAACACTGTATAGGGTTTCCAAAGAGCAGCTGGTGAGCTTGAACCATCGACCTTGCAGTTCAAATGACTTTGCAGTCTGACGCATTATCCCATAGCACCACACCAAGACTCCACTACTGTGCGTAGATTTTTGATGCTCATGTTGGCTCTATGCTGGCCCACAAGCAAACCTAAATACACAACCTCTGAGGGTGTCGGTTGGTTTACAAATGCAAATCACAGTCGTTTAAAAACACGGATTCCAAGCTTTGATTTGATTCTGGAAAACAAGCTCTTTTTTTTTTTTTTTTTTTTACAGGCCAAAGACATAACTAAATTCTTTCAGTGCATCCAAAACAAGATATAAATGAAACTAAAATTAACCTGAGATAACAGAGGAGAAAATGGCACCCACAACATAAATAATGCTCAAATAATTTCTCTCTCACTTCTAGATGGTTCTGCTTCTCTGAAATGTTATTAACAATGAGGATTTACCGAATAGCTGCAAAATGACTAATCCACACGAGATCACTGGGCATTATATCAATAAAGAATTCTAAATTCAGTCATTTGGGGTAAAAATTAACTGGCAAGGAGCTACCTCATTGTTCTGACTTGCTATTTATTACACACTGCCAAGGAGCGGGGTTTCGACATGAGAGCCAGACACAAACCTGTGCTCCTTCTACTGGCCCTTTGGTGGACTCCATGCCTCGTCGCCATCTTCCCCAGAGGGGAATGATGAAATCTACTGAAATCAGGCTGCCTCTGGAATGTGCTCAGTCCCTGAAGTGCTTCTAGACTTTGTGTGAGTGTGAGTATGTGTGTAAAGTAGTATTATTAATTCTTTTCATCGAGTTTAATTAAAGAGAGAAAGAGAAACACTTAAAAATAACCCAGGGTTTCAATTTCTCTAACATTAACAGAAAATTCTAATTAAATGCATTTTTTATTAACAGTTGGATTGTTCGTAAAAAAGTGAACAGTATCGTAAGTGAATGGTATCGTATGTGAATTGTATCATATCCCATTCTTTGTTTTTAATTCCCTTAAAATAATCTTTTCCTTTAAATTGTCTTTATTTTGTCCTAGTTGTTGAGAATACGCACAGCAAAAGAAACATCAATTTAAAAGTTTCAACATATACAATTTAGCAACAGCAACCACATTCCTTGAGCTACAACAACCATACTTACCCTTCTTTTCTGAGTTGTTCTTCCCTCATTAACATAATCTCATTAACATAACATAAGGTTCCTGTCTCAGCATTAACCCTTTCAAATTGCTGTTGTCAGTTTGATCCTATACAGACAGCTCCTGGAGTCCTGGTGTGGTACTCTGAGATAAACCACTGGAACGCAAGGTCAGTGGTTCAAACTCATCAGTCGCTCCTTGGAAACCCTATACAGGGTGGCTATGAGTTGAAACCGACTTACTGGCAGCATTTAGCAATAACAACAAGATAAATTCTTAAAGAGCATAATGCTTAAGGCAGATAAAAAAAAAATGAATTAAGCTAAGCACTTGTTTGGTTTTAGTAAGACTTCAGGGGATATTTTTGGTAAGGATTAAAGATGATCTCAGGGCAATAGTTTCAGAGGTTCATCCACCCTCTACAGAAAGTCTGAGAATTTGAAATTCTGCTCTGCATTTTCCTCTTTTTGATCAGGATTCTTCTATGGACTCTTTGATTAAAATGTTGGGCAATGGTAGCTGGGCACTATCCAGATCTTGGGGTCTGATGGGAAAGGAGGCACAGGGCTTGGCAGTATTTCAATCTTTTGTGCACAGGGCCGCTAGTTCATTTATAGTGTCATTCAGGTCCTCTGTTTACTTGTTGATCTTCTTTCTAAACGTTTTGTCCAATACTAAAGTGGTGTCTTGAAGTCTCCGACTATTAAAGTAGTACTAACTATTTTTCATCCTCTTGTGTGGCGCTTTAGGATAAGCACTTGACTGCTAACCTTAAGGTCAGCAGTTCAAACCCACCAGCTGCTCATTGAAAACCTTATACAGAGTTGCAGTGAGTCAGAACTGACTCGACGACACTTACCAATAATAAACTCTTATCTCCCTTCATTTCTATGAGTGATTGCTTTACATACTACTGTATCCCAATGTTGGTGCATATGAAGTTATGATTGTTAAATCTTCTTGATCAACTGACCCTTTTCTCATTATATGATGTCCATCTTTATCCCTTCTGGCAAATTTTGTCTAAAAGTCTACTTTGTCTGATATCGAGATTGTCACTCTAGTTTTTTTCGATTACTGTTTGCATTGCATATTTTTTTTCCATCTTTCCACTTTTAACCTATTTGTGTATTTGGGCTTAAGATGTAAGTAGTATGTACTTTGGATTTATTTTAATATCTATACTGCCACTCTCTGCCTTTTGATTGGAGCATTAGTCCATTTACATTCACTGGGATTAATGTTAAGAAATTATCTACTTCTGCCATTTTGTTATCTGTGTGTGCACTAAGCAGTCTTTGGATTTGCCTTCAGTACTGCTGACTTTTGTGCTTTGCTGGCTTACTGTAATAAATTTTTTTGGTTTCTTTCTCCTTTCCTTTTGTGTATGTTTTTATATTTTTTCTTATTGGCTGTTGTTGTTGTTGTTAAGTGCCGTCGAGTCGGTTCCGACCCATAGCGACCCTGTACAGGGTTTCCGAGGGTGTAAATCCTTACGGGAGTAG